TTTTGGAGATATTATGTTGTTATAATTTCTAACCTAACATCGCTGAATCAGCTCTGTTTAAATAATGTGAAATTGTCATTCTCCTCTATTACCTATTGCAACACTGAGAGCACTTCAAAGTGAATTGATTCATGTCATAAATTTACATTTCCAACACTAGATAATCTTACAGTTTATTAAAAAGAAACCAGTAGGACGCAGTTAACAATTTTTTCAAAAACTCCTGTCTCTGATAACAAAATCTTACAAATTCTCAGATCCAGTTTGATTGAAAATGACGAGAAAACATAAATTAACCTCCGATTTTTGTTCTGAAGACTGGAATGCATTCTCTTTTTTTTTGCAAGTGGGGAGGAACTGAGAGAAAAACGAACTGTGGCAATAGATCCTTCAATAGAGCAGGATTCAGTGCATTAAAGGTACTGAATGGGTGTTTTGTACTCTGAGGTTTGGCCAGCTCTTATTGTGCCTTTCTAGCTGTTTGTGCCCTGGCAGTCTTTAAAGGAAGACAAATAAAAGTATGAAAAAGAGAAACACCAGATGAATATTAAATGGTGTGAGGATTCAAAGCTGGCCTCTGTAATGACCAAAGTTTTGTCAATAAGTTGTTCTCTTGTGTGCCCGATCCAAGCACACAACAGGCATCTTTTTACCATCAGTCATTTTAAACAGCAGCTGAAGAATCCTGGAGAAAGGCAAACCAATCTCTTCGAAGCGAGGTCTGTAAACCCAGCTGAGAAGCTGCTGTTCTCCAAAGTTTGAACCTGGGGCTGAGCAACAAAGTTACACTCCCACAATTTGTAACCTGAATTGCATTTCTTATTGTGAGTTAGATATCTACTGAGAGCAGAGACGAACCCGACACAAGGGTTTCTTTGGCGTTTTAACAGGATAAAAAACGTTTTCCTCGAGTTGCAATAAGTCAAATGTCAACCAGGACGAGTAACTAAAAAGGTGCCTGTATGCTGTTTTTCCAAAAATGCATCAGCCAAGTGGTAGAAATCACTTTTATACATCTGAAACTGCTGGGCATTATGAAGCAAAACCAAGAAGCGCACTTGGCAACTCTCTGCTGTCTTGGGGCTACGCACGTGCCGTGAGAGAATCCAAACTATTTTACAAACCAAAAGTCCGAGATGATGTGAAACTGCTAGCCACTGCTGGAGAGCTCAGTTCTTCCCAGATTCTGAGGAAGACTCTTGGGTCAGAAAATGGATATTTAGAACGGGCCAAACCTGGATCTGCTGTGAGCAAGATTCCACAGCTTTGTGGATTGAGAAGCAGAAGACAGGAACAATTGGCTAAACCAGGATTAAGCCGAAGTGCTCGAGACAGGAGCTTGTCTATCGGTAGCAGCAGCAAATTATGTCAAGTGCACATTCAGCACACATGTGTATGGGAAGGAATTGCTCATGTTAATGAGCAGGGTTTGCTGAAAATGCTTGATTTTTATCAGACTCTCAACAGTAAGTATAATAATGATTGAAATTAAGGATAAAGGTATGCTGTTTGATATTTAAAGAAATTGTTCAAAATTCAAATAAAACAAAGAACTGTGGATGCTAAAGATCTGAAATAAAAACAGAAGTTGTTGAAGAAACTCAGCAAGTTTGGCAGCATCTGTGGAGAGAAAGCAGCATTATTGTTTTGAGCCCAGTATGACTCTTCTTCAGAACTTCCTGAAATGTTAACTCTGTTTTCTCCCAACGGATGCTGACAGACCTGCTGAGTTTTTCCAGCAATTTCTGTTTTTGTTTGAAATTCAAAACAATTTAACATTTATGGTTGCTGTTAAATGCCTTTAACATGGGGCTGCAGCACAGCTGGGAACTTAATTTGAGAGACTCACTGTTGAAAAGACAGGAAAATGGCGATGAACTTGGTAGGCAGCTTTCAAACCTTGAGCACTTTGGGTGGTAAATGGAGTAAAGGTAGACGTTTGTGAGGCGTTGAAGGTGTGTGATCGGAGGTGTTCTGTTTTACCATAGGGAATGGAAAAGGTGATTTTCAAGGGGAGGATGACAGGTTCAGAAGGGAGCCTCTGATGGTTAGATCATCCCTAAAGGATGAACATCTAAGTAAGAAACTCGGAGGCTACAATACTCCTGAATCTCACGTGTTTACGTACCTATCCAGCTAAGTTCAGTAACTCCAGCATAGGTTACCAATAAAACTTAAGACTTTGAGGAGGGAAGAAGAAATAACTTGGAGACAACCTGTCAAAACAATAGACTATCCATCTTATTACAGGCTCTGCAGGAGACGGGCACAGTGATACCATTAGTATTTATAGCTCAGACTGCTGTAGTAAAGATTGGTGAGGCAGGAGATAACCTCCTTGACCTGACACAACCTGTCCATCTTCTCTCCCACCTATCTACTCCTCCCATGTCTCTGACCAATCCCCACCACTGCCTACCTGCACTCACCTATCACCATCCCACCTCCCTTCCCCAGCCCCACCCCTCCTCTCTCTATTTATTTCAGAGCTCCCTTCCCCTTCCCCCATTTCTGAAAAAGAGTCCCAACCCGAAACATCAACTTTCCTGCTCCACTGATGCTGCCTGACCTGCTGTGTTCCTCCAGCTCCACACTGTGTTATCTCTGACTCCAGCATCGGCAGTTCTTACTATCGGTTGGTGAAGCAGAATATGTATGAAATCACAAATAGAATTTTGTAGGGCTAAATTTTGCTTATGGGTTTGGAACCCTAAAACAGGCTGGCACAGGGATATTCTAGGAAGCAACTGGAGTGAAACCCCCAAAATCAACATTCTGGGGGTTACCATTGACCAGAAACTGAACTGGACTAGGCATACTAAGTACTGTGTCTCTTAGAGTAGGTCAGAGGCTAGGAATACTGTGGTCAGTAACTCACCTCCTGACACCCTGAAACCTGTCCACTGTTAGACACAAATTAGGAGTGTGATGGGATATTCCCCCATTGGCCTGGATGAGTGCAGCTTCAACCACTCTCAAGAAGCTCAACACCATCCAGGCCAAAGTAGCCCATTTGTTTGGCACCAGCAGTGTGTACCATCTATAAAATGCACTGCAGAAATTAACTAAAGGTCCTTAGACAGGCCTTCCAATCCACTGACCACTGCCATCTAGAAGGACAAGGGCAGCAGATATATGGGAACACCACCAATTACAAGTTTCCCTCCAAACCACTCGGCATCCTGACTTGGAAATATATCGCCGTTCCTTTGGTGTCGTGGGGTCAAAATCCTGGAATTCCCTCCCTAACAGCACTGTGGGTCTACCTATAGCACACGGACTGCAGTGGCTTAAGAAGGCAGCTGGCCCCCACCACCTTTGGAAGGGCAAGTAGGGATAGGTAATAAATGCATGCCACATCTTATGAATTCATGAAAAAATCTTTTAATTGACTTCCTGTGAGGTTGCTATCCAATCAAAGGCTGAATAATCCCATGAGGAGAGTTAGGCATTGCTGAGGCAGATAAGCATCATGTAGGATTCTAAAAGTGTTGATATTGAGGAGTTCTCTAAGCACCACCCACAATGACAATGTCACGTGGACATGTGAACGGAACAGTTTAGGATCTGAAAGGAGTGAGGCCTGATGATCCTCAACGTCTGTATTATGTTATCTATCATATCAATGCATCCTGCAATGAGTCCCTAATATTTCTTGTTGACTACAAGAAGCACAGTTAGTTAGTTACACCATGAAATGGTTCTCCTCTATCACCTTAGACCAAGGTCCTGTAGTTTCCTCCAATTAAAGAAGATAATAGCAGTGACCTTCATTCTAAGCAGCAGGTTGATGAGAAACTATTTAAAATATCATCCGGATGAAATAGCAACAAAAAAAGGACAGCATTTGAGAATTATTCTAAGTACTGTTTGTGTATTTATATAAAAACATCAAAAAAGTTCAAGGTTAGGAATGAAATTCTAGAAAAATATTCCTTTCTTAATTATTTATAGCTGAATTGTTTTTATTTATGGATTGATTTGTAAGTGGATGATAGTTTGAGGCACAACTAGATATGCCTTTGTGGCATGAAAATGGAGTCAGAGAATCCCTCCCATGGAGAAGGAGGCCATTTGGCCCATCAAGTCTGCACTGACCCTCTGAAGACCATCCCACCCAGATCAATCCTATCCCTGTAAACCCACATTTACCATGGCTAACTTATCTAGCCTCCACATCCCTGGACACTATGGGACAATATAGCATGGCCAATCCACCTAACCTGCACAAAATTGGACTGTGAGAGGAAACCCACGCAGACAAGAGGAGAACATGTAAAGTTCACACAAACAGTCGCCCAAGGCTGGAATCGAGCCTGGGTCCCCAGTGCTGTGAGACAGCAGTGCTAACCACTGTTCCACCATGTTGCTGACTGTAAAGGAATATAAATTTCACTCGAGACGTGCAAGACTTGCAAGACTCTAAGAGTCATAGAGTCACACAGCATAGAAACAGTCCTTTCATACCAACTCGTCCATGCCAACCAGATTTCCTAAACTAGTTGCCTGCATTTGGCCCATATCCCTCTAAACCTTTCCTATCCATGTACCTGTCCAAATGTCTTTTAAATGTTGTAATTGTACCCATCTCTGCCACTTCCTATGGTAACTCGTTCCACATACACAACATCCTTTGCGTGAAAAAGTTGCCCCTCAGGTCCCTTTTAAATCTTTCGTCTCTCACCTTAAACCCTGTAGTTTTGTACTCCCCTACCCTGGGAAAAAGACCTTAGCTATTCACCTTATCTATACCCCTCATGATTTTATAAATCTCAATCAGGTCACCGCTCAACCTCCTACGCTCCAGGGAAAGAAGTCCCAGCCTATCCAACTTCTCCTTATAACTCAAACCTCCCAGTGTCGGTCACATCCTTGTAAATCTTTTTTGCACCCATTTCCAGTTTAAAAACATCCTGCCTGTAGCAGAACGGCCAGAATTGTATGCAATGACTGTGACTGCCCTGAAGCACTAACTTTCAGAGGCTTTTCTGTGTCTGTAGGGGAGGACCCAGAGACCCGAAGGCTACGCACTGTGAAGAACATTGCTGACCTCCGGCAGAACCTGGAGGAGACTATGTCGAGTTTACGGGGGACTCAGATCACACACAGGTACGAATCATCTCATCTTACTACAGCGTTTTCTTGCTTCCTCTCTTGGTTTCCGTCGGTGCTGAAGCAAAGAAAGTCGGCAGGGCGTTCAGTGCTCCAGCTGTGAACTTCAATACAACGGCAGTACATTGTTGGAGTGTTATACAGCACTGATCAAAAGCAGCACATTTCTGTTCAGTCAGGAACATAACTGAATGGTTACAATTGCTGAGAATGCTTCATAGGTTAAAAGCACAGCAAGGCTAAATTGTTAACACAGGCTTTTAATAAAATATAAGATTTAACATGAATCGTTTCAGTGTTTGCAATTTAAAACCCATATCTTTTTGTAAGAGGTGCAACAATTTGAAAGATTAGATTAATTTTAGAGACAGTTAAAGCATAGTGGGGCAGGAAAAAGGAAGTAGCACATATGTAACCCCTTTTAAATCCCCAGAATGTCCCATATCACTTGACAGCAATGATTGGTTTTAAAATGCAGTCTCCATTGTTACACAATCACACCATAGCCACTTTGTTTTGAACAAGGTCCCAGAGATCAGTGAGAGGAATGGTCGTTCCATCTGTTCTGAGAGTGTTGATTGAAGGATCCTTGACTTCATTTCTGATTCAAAAGACAAACCTCTGATTTTAACCCACTACCTGCCACATCCAAGGCAAATGCACCATTACTGACCAAGCTGGGATTTGTCTCATGTCCTGACTACACAGTTACTATCCACTAACTCTTCCAATGTAGAATTTCAAGGTGATTAAGTTATAATCCAAGCCATGACTTGGGTTTGAATACTTGTCATATCAGTTGAGAATGTTCACTCAGGCATGGTCAGTAATGTGACCATAAGAGAAATAACTGAGAACGTTTTTATTTTAACAGCCAATCAGATTTAAAAATGCTGATCTTTTTTTTTAAATAAAGTGCTTCGCTTTATGAAGAAACAAATGCTGTAAATTTTGTTTGGGGAGAGGTCATTGATCTGAAACAGAAACACTCTTTATCATCCCACAAATGGCCAACTCAGTGTTTCTGGTAATCCTGTTAAAATTCCATATTTTGGATTTCTCTGGCAGCCTAATTCTTCTCTCTTAATTATATTCAATGGATTTTTAATGTTTTGTTTTTGGAATGACCCAGAGAATTCTCTGCCACAGAAAGTGCTTGAGGCCAAAATACTAAGTGTTTTCAAGAAGGAGTTAGATATAGTTCTTAGGACTAAAAGGATCGAAGGATATGGGGAGAAAGCAGGAATAGGGGACTAAGTTGCATGGTAGCAAGAACTGCAGATGCTGGAGTCAGAGATAACAGTGTGGAGCTGGAGGAACACAGCAGGCCAGGCAGCACCAGAGGAGCAGGAAAGTCAACGTTTCGGGTTTGCACCCTTCATCACGACTGGGGAGGATGCAAACCAAACCTGAAACGTCTGACTTTCCTGTTCCTCTGATGCTGCCTGACCTGCTGTGTTCCTCCAACTCCACACTGCGTTGACTGAGTTGAATGATCAGCCATGATCATATTGAATGGCAGAGCAGGCTCAGAGGGCCAAATGGCCTATTCCTGCTCCTATTTTCTATATCTCAGTGACCGCCTTTGAGGTTCATCATGGTTATGAACTGGAAATAATTTTCAGATGTCTGGCCAGTTGAATGCACCTTTGCCTCCAGGCCAGGCAGTGCCTGTTACAGCCTGAATGGTTGAGCTTCATTTTGAACAACATGGCCCTGGACTTGTGTTGCACTTTCCTGAATGCAGCTGCTCTGTAATATCAAACTGTGTTCCTCTGGCCTGTGAACATTTTAATGGGTCTGTTGCAAAATGTACAAATTGTTGAGCACAGATTATTAGGAGTAGTTTAACAGAGCTGTAGTTTGACTCTTCACGTTGATAGGATCTTGTCTTTTGAAAAAAATATGGACTTATTAACAAAAGGCAGGGTTAGGTCGTGTCTCACAAACTTGATTGAGTTTTTTGAGATTGTGACAAAGGTGGCTGATGAGGGAAGGGTAGTGGATGTTGTCAAAATGGAATTGCGCAAGGCCTTTGACAAGGTCTTTCATGCCAGGCTAATACAGAAGGTGAAGTCAACTGGGATTCGTGGTGAGCTGGTAAGATGGATACAGAACTAGTTTAGTCATAGAAGACAGCGAGTAATGGTGGAAGGTTGGTTTTTCTGATTGGAGATCTGTGACCAGTGGTGTTCCACAGGGATCAGTGCTGGTATCCCTGTTGTTTGTAATGTATATACAGGAATGTCGAAGGATGAAAGCCAACCTGATAGAGGTTTACAAAAGTATGTGAGGTATGGATAGAATGGATACTCTGAATCTTTTTCCCCGGGTAGAAATGTCAATTACTAGGAGACATAGGTTTAAGATAAAAGGGGGTAAGTTTAAAGGAGATGTGAGAAGCAGGTTTTTTTACACAGAGGATGGTAAGTACCTGGAAAGCGCTGCAAGAGAAGCTGGTGGAGGCAGTTACAGAACAATTTAAGAGGCATCTTGATAGATACATGAATAAGCAGGGAATAGTGGGACAGGGGTTTTGCGAAAGGTTTTAGTTTAGAAAGGTGCAATGTGTTGGCACAAGCTTGGTGGACTAAGGGGCCTGTTCCTGTGTTGTACTGTTCTTTGTTTTTTTCTGAAATTTATGTTAAGTGGGAATGGTGACAACCATAAGATGTCGGAACAGAAGTAGGCCATTCTGTCCATCAAGTCTACTCTGCCACTCAACTCCTGCCTTGTCCTTGAACCTTTGATTACCTTACCAATTAAAAATCTGTCTATCACAGCCTTGAGTATACTTAACAGCCCAGTCTCGATCGACGCAGGCTGCCAGATCTGCTGAGTTTTTCCAGCAATTTCTGTTTTTGCTCTCTATCTTTGTATTCCATTCCGTTTCAAATAAAAGCAGTGTATGACCTGGTGCCGTTTTGGCAGTGGTTTGTTTTGCCCAGTTTGATTTTTATTGATTGGGTTTTGTTGCTTGCACCAATGGGAAGTTTCCTTTCCCTTTCAGCACGCTGGAAACAACGTTTGACAGCAGTGTTACCACAGAGATCAGTGGCCGCAGTATACTCAGCATGACAGGCAGGCAGGCCCCGTTGTCATGGCGACTCGGACAGTCCAGCCCCCGCCTTCAGGCCGGAGACGCTCCATCGATGGGGAACGGGTACCCTGCCCGGTCAAATGCCAGCCGTTACATCCACCCAGAGCCTGGCCGTTACGTGTACCCCACACCCCTCCGCAGGCAGCTGGCATCACGCAGCAGTAATGTGTGCCACTCGGATCTTCCCGAGAAGAGTGGGGACGACATGGACCTGGAGGGCATCAACATGGATGTAGCCGGATACATGAGCGATGGTGATGTCCTGGGCAAGAATCTACGAACTGATGATGTAGCGAGTGGGTAAGGAGTTTTTAATAAACAATATATTTCTCCTCTCATCTTTTATCATGCTGCCAAATGAGGTGAACACAGTGAGACAGGATAGATAAAGAGAAACTATTTCCACTGATTGGGGATTCTAGAACTAGGGGGCATGGTCTGAGGATTAGGGTCAGGCCATTCAGGAGAATTGTTAGGAAACACTTGTACACACAAAAGGTGGTAGAGTCTCTTCCACAAATGGCAGTGGATGCTGGACCAGTTGTTAATTTTAAATCTGAGAGAGATAAACTTGTCTTAAGCAAAGGTCAATTTTTCTCCCCTTAACCCAAAACCAGTAGTGCCAGTATAATTGCTGAATTCTTCTAACTTGGACTGGTTTCTAGACTGATGGCAGAACTGACGCATGGAGAGAGATTGGTTCAGTCAGGACTATATTTCACTGAAGTTCTGATGAATGAGGAGGATCACATAATAGCCTTGAAAGTTCTCACAGATTAGATAAGTTAAATGCTATTTTCAATGACTGGAGGGGGGGGGGGGGGGGGGGGGGGGGGGTCACAGTCTAAGGATATTGGGACTGGGTTGAGGAGAAATTTCTTCACCCAGAGAGTGGGGAGCCTGTGAAATTCTCTGCCACAAAAGCAGTTGTGACCCAAACATTGAATGTTTTCAAAAACAAGTTACATATTGTTTGTAGACCTGAAAGGATCAAAGGGAATGGGGCGAAAGCAGGAGCAGGGGACTGAGTTGGATGATCAGCCATGACTATATTGTATGGTGGAGCAAGCTCGATGGGCTGAATAGCTTATTCCTTCTCTCTTTTCTACGTTTCTATGGAACCTGATCTTGGGGCTTCGTACGACATTGCTAGTCACTCAAAACAAAAACTGAAATTGCTGGAGAAACTCAGCAGATCTGGTAGCATCTGTGGAGAGAAAGCAGGGTTAACACTTTGGGCTCAGTCCTCTCTTCAGGCACTTGGACCTGAAACGTTAACCCTGTTTCTCTCTCCGCAGATGCTGCCAAATCTGCTGAGTTTCTCCAGCAATTTCTGTTTTTGTTTCAGATTTCTAGCATTTTGCATTTCTTTGTTTCTGGATAGTTAGACACTCAACTAACTCAAATAACAAGGTGTGGAGCTGGATGAGCACAGCAGGCCAAGCAGCATCAGAGGAGCAGGAAGGCTGACATTTCAGGCCTAGACCCTTCTTCAGAAATGGGGGAGGGGAAGGGGATTCTGAAATAAATAGGGAGAGAGGGGGAGGCGGATAGAAGATGGATAGAGGAGACAGACAGGTCAAAGAGACGGGGATGGAGCCAGTAAAGGTGAGTGTAGGTGGGGAGTTAGGGAGGGGATAGGTCAGTCCAGGTAGGATGGACAGGCCAAGGGGGCGGGATGAGGCTAGTAGGTAGGAGATGGGGTTGGGGCTTGAGGTGGGAGGAGGGGATAGGTGGGAGGAAGGAGGGACAGGTTAGGGAGGTGGGGACAAGCTAGGCTGGTTTTGGGATGCGGTAGGGGGAGGGGAGATTTTGAAGCTTGTGAAGTCCACATTGGTACCATTGGGCTGCAGGGTTCCCAAGCGGAATATGAGTTGCTGTTCCAGCAACCTTCGGATGGCATCGTTGTGGCACTGCAGGAGGCCCAGGATGGACATGTTGTCTAAGGAATGGGAGGGGGAGTTGAAATGGTTCGCGACTGGGAGGTGCAGTTGTTAGTGCGAACCGAGTGTGGGTGTTCCGCAAAGCGGTCCCCAAGCCTCCGCTTGGTTTCCCCGATGTAGAGGAGTCCATAATGGGAACCGCGGATACAGTATGCCACATTAGCAGATGTGCAGGTGAACATCTGCTTGATGTGGAAAGTCTTCTTGGGGCCTGGGATGGGGGTGAGGGGGGAGGTGTAGGGGCAGGTGTAGCACTTCCTGCGGTTGCAGGGAAAAGTGCCGGGTGAGGTGGGGCTGGAGGGGAGTGTGGAGCAGACAAGGGAGTCACGGAGAGAGTGGTCCCTCCAGAAAGCAGATAAGGGTGGGGAGGGAAAAATGTCTTTGGTGGTGGGATCGGATTGCAGATGGCGGAAGTGTCGGAGGATGATGCGTTGGATCCGGAGGTTGGTGGGGTGGTACGTGAGGATGAGGGGGATTCTGTTTTGGTTGTTATTGCGGGGAGGGGGTGTGAGGGATGAGTTGCGGGAAATGCGGGAGACACGATCGAGGGCGTTCTCGACCACTGAAGGGGGGAAGTTGCAGTCCTTGAAAAACGAGGACATCTGAGATGTTCGGGAGTGGAATGCCTCATCCTGGGAGCAGATGCGGTGGAGGCGAAGGTGTTGGGAATAAGGGATGGCTCAACTAACTCAGTTTGGGATCAAAAACAAAGTTGCTGGAAAAGCTCAGCAGGTCTGGCGGCATCTGTGAAGAAGAAAACAGAGTTAATGTTTCGGGTCAGGTGACCTTTCCTCAGATGCTGCCAGACCTGCTGAGCTTTTCCAGCAACTTTGTTTTTGTTCCTGATTTACAGCATCCGCAGTTCTTTTGGTTTTAACTCAGTTTGGGAACTTCTTGTCATAACCTAATGTTGCCACAAGATGGCAAGAAATGTATTGCTTTCCCCTGCTGTAAGGAAAGTTTTTTACGCAGAGAGTGGTCGGAGCCTGGAATGCACTGCCAGAGGAGGTGGTGGAAGCAGGCACGTAGGTGACATTTAAGAGGCATCTGGATGGTTACATGATTAGGAAGGGAATATAGGGATACGGACCGAATAAGGGCAAAAAGTTTTTTTTTAGTTTAGTTAGTGCATGATGATCAGCACAGGCTTGGAGGGCCGAAGGGCCTGTTCCTGCGCTGTACTTGTCTTTTGTTCTTTTATTAAAGTGAATGGCCTGTCGGAGGATTTTTCCATTTGACTCCCCAGGGAATCAGTAGTCTCCAGGGAAATGTTAAGAATGATGCAAGCTGCAAACCTATTTAGACTTTCGGAGAGTTGATTTCTGAGGAATTGAGGGAATTACAGTCTTCAGGCCCCAGGTCGCTCTGTTGATTCACCAGCCTCAATGTCTTTACATTGAGCACATAGTCCTGTGCCTTGCTTTCCCTTCATAGTTGTACCTCCTGTCAAAGTCCCACGTTTTATCACATCTATCACATTTATCACAGGCTTATTTAGAGTGATATGGCACAAACGCAGGCAAACGGGACTAGTTCAGTTTAGGAAGCCTGGTTGGCATGGATGAGTTGTTTCTGTGCTGGATAAACCTCTATGACTCTATGTCCAAGTTGTATGTGGGGCAAGGGGCTGTATGATTGAACCTGTGACAGTGACCTGGGTGACATATTAGTAGCAAGGAGACAATGTTTGTTGGAAGCAGAGGCCATAAACTGTACCTTTCCAGCATTTAAATGGAGGAAATTGCAGCTCATTTGGGTCTGGATGTCAGATAAACAGTTGGACAGTACAGTGGAAGAGCTGAGAGACACAGTCATGCGAGTGAAGTGAGTGAAGCATCGACAGTGTCGATGTCAAAACAGAGACGCTGTCTATGGATCTGCCTGTCAAGGGGCCCTTACAGTAAATCCCATTTGCCACAGGCCAGCTCATTCCATTAAGTGATATCTTCCCAGTGCCTTTTCTAGTCGCTAAACAATATGTCAACCTTTGTGCCTGACATTGGATACTGTTAAACCATGAAAACTATTAAAGTCAGTTCCAGTCCTCACTTGTCACTGAGCTTGGAATCTGATATATGGACGTTAATTTTTTTGAAAAATGCCTTCTTACAGAGGAGACTTTTACGACTGACCTGAGTAGCGAGTTGATTTGCAAACCTTTCACCCTTTTTAATGTGTTAAAAGAGTATAACGACTATTGTAATTCAGTGGAGTAGAAAGAATATGAGAGTTACTTTTGACAAGAAGTTGATTTTCCACTATCTGTCTGCACGGGACAATTTAAACAAAGAGAAACTACAAAAAGGGACCTGGGGGGACTTGTGCATGACATACAGAAAGCTAGCACACAGATGCAGCAGGTAAGCAAGAAGGCCAATGGAATGTTGGCCTTTATTTCAAAGGGGCTGGAGTGTGTTTTTTTAATTCATTTATGGGATAAGGGCTTTGGTGGCTAGGCCAACATTTATTGTGCATCACTAATTGCCCAGATGGTAGTTAAGATCACCCACATTGCTGTGAGTCTGGAGTCACATGTAGGCCAGACCAGGCAAGGATGGCACTTTCCTTCCCTAAAGGACATCAGTGAACCAGATGGTGTTTTCCAACAATCCACAATGGATTCACAGTCATCATTTGACTTACTGCCATGGCAGGATTTGAACCCGGGTCCCCAGAACATTCCTTGGTCTCTAGATTAACATTCCAGCAATAATATAAATGGCTTCCCCTAAAGTAGAAGAGTAGAGAAATCTTATTACAACTGTACAAGGTGCTGGTGAGACCGCATCTGGAGTACTGAGAGCAGTTTTGGTTCCTTTATTTAGGGAAAGAAATCATTTCATTGGAGGCAGTTCTGAGAAAGTTCATTAGGATGATCCCTGGTATGGAGGGCTTGCCTTATGAGCAAAAGTTAACAGGTTGGGATGCTACTTATTGAAATTTAGAATAAGGAGAGGTAACCTCTTTGAAACATATTGGATTCTTCAGGGGCTTGACAGGATAAATGCTGAGAGGAGGTTCCACCTTATGGAAGAGTTTAGTATCAAAGGACATAGTCTCAGAAAAGAGGTCACACATTTAAGACTGAGATGAGGAGGAATTTCTTCTTTCAGAGGGTTGTGAGTCTTTGGAACTCCTAGCCACACAGATCTGTGGGGGCAGAGTCCTTGTGCATATTTAAGGCTAAGATAACTTCTTGATCAGTCGGAGAATTAAAGGTTATGGGGAAAGGGCAGGAAAGTGGACTTGAGGAATATTGGATCAGCCATGATCTTATTGAATGGCAGAGCAACCTCGAGAGCTGAATGTGGTGAAGATTAGTGGGAAGTCAGAGGATTGGGAAGTCTTTAAAAACCA